AGTGAAATAAAATTAGAAATCAACTTCAACAGAAACTCTCATCTCTACACAAAGTCATGGAAACTAAATAACCTTCTGCTCAACAATTATTTCATTAAGGAGGAAATCAAGATGGAAATCAAAAGATTCTTTGAACTAAATGATGAAGGGGACACAAGTTATCAAAATCTGTGGCACACAGCTAAAGCAGTCCTGAGAGGAAAATTTATATCCAAAATGCCTACATTCAAAAGACGGAGAGATCACAAATAAACAATCTAATGAATCATCTCAAAGAACTGGAAAAGGATGAGCAAACCGACCCCGAACCCCGCAGAAGAAAAGAAACAACAAAGATTAGAGCAGAACTAAATGCAATTGATGACAAAAAACTATATGGAAGATTAATAAAATGAAAAGTTGGTTCTTTGAAAAAATAAAATTGACATGCTTCTGGCTAGATTACAAAAAGCAGAAAAGAACTCTAATAAGCTCCTTCAGGAATGAAAAAGGACAAATGACAACTGATGCCATGGAAACACAAAATACCATCTATGAATACTATAATAACGTCTATGCACATAAACTGGAAAATGTGGACGAAATGGACAAATTCTTAGAAACACGCATTCTCCCTAGGCTCAAGCAGAAAGAAATAGAATTTCTGAACAGACCAATATCAAATAACAAAATTGAAACAGCAAAAAAAAAACTTCCTAAAAAGCAAAGTCCTGGACCAGAAGGTTTCACACCCAAATTTTACCACATCTACAAAGAAGAACTGGTGCCTATCCTGCAAAAATTATTCCACAACATCAAGAAGGAAGGAATCCTCCCCAACACATTTTATGAAGCCAACATCACCCTGATACCAAAACCAGGAAAGAACACAACAACAACAAAAACTACAGACCAATATTCCTTATAAATATAGTTGCAGAAATTCTCAAAAAAAAATGCTAGCAAACAGAATTTAGATGCTTATCAAAAAAATAATCCATCAGAACCAAGTGGGCTTCATCCTAGAGATGCAGGGATGGTTCAACATACACAAATCTATAAATAAATTCACCACATAAATAGAAGCAAAAAAAAAAACACCCTATGATCCTCACAATAGACGCAGAAAAAGCATTCAACAAAATTCAACACCCTTTTATAAGAACGCTTAACAAAATAGGGATAGACGGGACTTACCTAACAATGATATAAGCCCTATATGACAAACTCACAGCCAACATCATACTGAATGGGGAAAAACTGAAACCATTCCCACTTTGAAATGGAAGCAGACAAGGTTGCCCTCTATGACTGCTTCTATCAACATAGTGCTGGAAGTCCTAGCCAGAGCAATCAGACAAGAGAAGCAAATCAAGGGCATCCAAATGGGGGCAGAAGACGGCAAACTGTCTTCTTTGCTGACGATATGATCTCATATGTAGAAAACCACAAAGATTCTGCCATGAGACAACTGGAATTGATAAACAAATTCAGCAAAGTCTCAGGTTACAAAATCAATGTACAGCAATCAGTAGCATTCCTATATGCCAACAACAGTCAAACTGAGAACCAAATCAAAGACTCAATACCCTTCACAATATGCAACAAAGAAAATAAAGTATCTAGGAATACATTTAACTAAAGAGGTAAAAGACCTCTACAGGGAGAACTATGAAACACTGAGGAAGGAAATAGCAGAGGGTGTAAACAGGTGGAAAACCATACCATGCTCATGGGTCAGCAGAGTCAACATTGTTAAAATGTCTATACTACCCAAAGTGATCTACAGATTCAATGCAATCCCTATTAAAATACCAACATCATTTTTCACAGATATAGAAAAAATAATTCTATGCTTCGTATGGAAACAGAAAAGACCCCGTATAGCAAAAGCAATCTTAAGCAAAAAGAACAAATTGGGAGGCATCAATCTACCAGACTTCAAGCTATACTACAAGGTTATAGTAACTAAAGCAGCAAGGTACTGGCACAAGAACAGAGACATAGACCAATGGTACAGAAGTGAGAACCCAAATATAAAACCATCCTCATATAGCCATCTAATCTTTGACAAAGCAGACAAAAACATACACTGGGGAAAATAATTCTTATTCAATAAATGGTGCTGGGAAAACTGGATAGCTACATGTAGAAGACTGAAACAGGATCCGCACTTTCACCTCTCACAAAAATCAACTCACAGTAGATAACAGACTTAAACCTAAGGCGTGAACCTACAAGAATCCTAGAAGAAAATGTTGGAAAAATTTTTATAGACATTGGCCTAGGCAAAGAATTTATGAAGAAGACCCCAATGGCATTCATAGCAACAACAAAAATAAATACATGGGACCTGATCAAATTAAAAAGCTTCTGCACAGCCAAGGAAACTATCAGGAGAGCAAATAGACAACCTACATAATGGGAGAAAATATTTGCTTGTTACACATCTGATAAAGGGTTGATAACTAGAATCTATATAGAACTTAGGAAAATCAGCAAGAAAAAATCAAACAACCCTATGAGAAAGTGGGCAAAGGACATGAACAGAAACTTTTCAAAAGAAGATAGACTAATGGCTAACAAACATATGAAAATATGCTCAACATCTCTAATCATCAGGGAAACGCAAATCCAAATCACGATTAGATATCACTTATGTCCAGTGAGAATGGCCTTTATCAAAAAGTCCCCAAACAATAAATGTTGGCATGGTTGTGGAGAGACAGGAACACTCCTACACTGCTGGTGGGACTGCAAACTAGTACAACCTCTGTGGAAAGCAATATGGAGATACCTCAAAGAGATACGAGTAGAACTACCATTTGATCCAGCAATCCCATTACTGGGCATCTACCTAAAAGAACAAAAGACATTCTATTAAAAAGACATTTGCGCTAGAATGTTTACAGCAGCACAATTCACAACTGCAAACATGTGGAAACAACCCAAGTGCCCATTAATACATGAGTGGATTAATAAAATGTGTTCTACGTATACCATGGAGTTCTATTCAGCCACAAAGGACAATGGTGATCTAGCACCTCTTGTATTATCCTGGATAGAGCTGGAACCTATTCTACTAAGTGAAGTATCCCAAGAATGGAAAAACAAGCACCACATGTACTCACCATCAAATTGGTTTTAACTGATCAACACGTAAGTGCACATATAGTAATAACATTGATTGGGTGTCGGGCAGATGGGGGGAAGAGGAGATGGGTATAGTCACACGTAATGGGTGTGGTGCACACTGTCTGGGGGATGGACATGCTTGAAGCTGTGACTTGGGTGGGGCAAGGGTAATATACATAACCTAAAAATTTGTACCCCCATAATATGCTGAAATAAAAAAAAAAAGCCATTTGACATTCCGTGTCCAAATAAAGGGCTCTTTTCCCTCTCTTTTCTAATATTCCTTTTTTTAAATCTCTAGCCAAAATTCTCCAAAGATGGTTAGAGATTTTTTAAATCCCTGGGGGAGGATAGTCCAACAGTACTGGCTTTTGGTTTTAGTCCTTAAATCCTCCCATGCAAAAGCAAAGAGTTCTTGTGGCTCAGGAGCAAGGGGATGCAAAGGAAGGCAGCCTTTATGTCTATTACCAGTAACCAAGCAAGAGTGCCAGACAGAGCAGTGAGAAGAGTGCAGGGCTTTGGTACCACAGGACGAATGCCTTCCACTAATGGGCTTATTGCTCTCTGATCCTGAAGACACCGATGTTCCTGAGGTGCAGGTTTTTGAACTGGCAGAATGGGAGTGTTATAAGGAGAGCAACGAGACCAGAGAAGTCCATAGTTTCAAAAGGCCACAACTAGAAGTTGAAGATCTTCTCTATCTTGAAGGTTTAATGGGTACTGTTTGAGTCCACGGGGAGAAATTTCCATTTTTTTCCTTGATATGAACAGGATCCACGTGTGCCCTTCCCGGTTGTCCAGGAGCCCATACCTCAGGGTTGACTTGATTGAGAACTTCAGTGGGCAGCTTTTGAGGGACAGCCAAGGGGGCGAGCAGAACTGCTGCAAGGCACAGGCATGTTCTGGGGGAACTGCGATGTGCACTTGCTTATTCTGAAACGTCACTTGAGCCTACGATTTAGAGAGATCTCGACCCAGCAATGGAGATGGCACACAGGCAAGTACAGAAAGTTGTGTGAGGGGAGAGAATTTCCAATAGCACAATCCAATGGCTGGAGAAAATATTTGTTGGAGGGTTCTCCAGATATCCTGATCGCCAGCACTGAGTCTTTAGTAAGCTTAGCCAATTTAAGGTTTAAAACTGAGTAGAGGTTGCACCATTGTCAATCAGAAAATCGATCCATTTTTCTCCCACTTTTACGGTTACCCTGGGCTCCTGGTGTGGGATATTAATCACTAGCCATAACTTGGTGGATTCTGGGGAGCCCCAGGGACCTATCTTTCAACAGCTTCAGAATTCAGCCCCATCAGTGGTACAGTAGGTTCCCCATCACTCTTTTTCTGTTCTTTGGTCTGTTCGTGGTTTATAAAGACTTTATAAGCCACTTTAACCAAATAAGATATGGGCAAGGTGAGAACCCCTTCTAACTTCTGTAGCTTTTGCTGGATATCAGGAATGTTCTGGCCAAAAAAGTTACTGTTCATTAACCTTGCATTATTAGGACTTTCTGGATGTATACATTTCTGATTTGCCTCCATAATCCTCTCTAGGAAGGCTGATGGATTGTCATCCATTTCCTGTGTTATTTCCTGAACCTTTTCAGGCCTTTAGTCTTGAGAACCCCTTTCCTAAGCCCAGCCAGGATGCAGTCTTGAAAATGCTGAATCTTAACTTCATTTCCATTATTTGTGTTCGAGTCGGGGTCCATTCTCATTTATTTTTCCTAAAAGGACATGTCTCAAAAGAAACTGCCCTGTCAGGAAGGAGGGAGGATCCCAACCAAACTGTGTACCCTGCTGGGTGCATGAAGGAGAGCGCATGTCCCCATGCTCTCCATGACTGTTCTCAGAGAAGGAAGAAAGCGAAGGACAGATGGCTGGAGGAGTCAGCAGGGGTGAAGAAAGGGGTCCACAGTCACGAGGCGGGCAGGAGGGTCAGGAGAGGGTCTGAAAGAAATCAGAGCTGCAGCCACAGCTGGAGCTGCTGTCACGGCTTCCCAAAGGGCATCTTCAACATGGGAGTTTTCTTCTGATGGCAAGACGGGGTTCTTAGACCTGTCTTGTTGCTCCTCAACCTTTTTGAAGGCTTCTGTCCCCTGTACTAGAACCTTACACTTAATTTGATCTGGCTTTTTTCTATATAGAAGTATAAAAGACTGTACACAAGGGATTTTATCCCATTTCCCAACATGATGACAAAATAAATCTAATTGGAGAATAGTATTGTAGCTCAATAATTCATTAAGGGGCCGTGTTTCCCAAGACCTGAAAGAGTACTGGGGACAGGCAGTATTATACAAATATAACATTTTTTTAGGTTTATAGCCATATTCAGACCAGTTTGGAAAAGATGGTTAGATCAAATTGTTTTAGACAAAGTTGGAACTTGCCAAACTTTAGCTGCCCCAATCGTAATGTAATGAGAACTATGGACCAAAGTTTTGGGTAAAGCAGCTTTCGTGGTAGTTTGAATCTTTCTTTAAAAGGCCTCTTTAACCTTTTCTTTTCCTTCCGTTCCAAAGGAGTTTTCAATGTTCACATTGCTACCAGAACTGACTGCTTCAAGTGACCTTGAATTAATAAAATAGACACACAGTCTTATCTCAATGCCAGTAACACAGCAACCACAGTTCACAAGCAGGCAAAAAAAAAAAATATTTAACAAACTCTACGTTTTAACTCTATAGTGGCAGGTTGACCATTTGAGCTCTGAAATTTTCTTGATGTAATTTGTCCATCAGTTTAAACATGTGCACAAGAACAAAACATAATATGTGGAGATCAGCTATAGTCCTAGGAATCCTGGCATTTCATTAAGCTTCCTCATAGACAGTACATTTATTTACCACACAATAATATAGATAAAACACTCAATACACGGAAAAACTTAACAGGTTTCAAGCTCGAGCCCAAAAACACCACATCAGACAAAACAAAACTAAAAAAACAAACAAAACAAAACAAAACAAAACAAAAACCCCAGAGTACTTCCAAACAAATTTCTACAGAGGGAGACGAGAGAAAAGTTTTCAAGAATCTTATCTCAAACCAACCAGTACTGCAAATGACCTGTCCTAGGTTCAAATGGCATAAGAGCCCACACGGCAGAGACAGAGGATTTCCAGTGTGCACACTAGCTTTGAAGACTGCAGTCGAAAGGGCTACATTCAGGGATAAATTCTTATTTTCCATAGTCACAGACACAAACACACTCACATGCCAAACGTACTGCAGTCCAACAAATAAGCCTCAGGAGTGCCAAATACAAACAGCCAGAGGTCCTGTTCTCCCAAATGAATGGTTGAGGCTTCCAACCCAAATGGATTTTCCCTTGAAACTCCCCAAATGGAGAGATGAGCAGCAGGTCCTGCTGTCCCAACTGGTTGAGGCCTCTGGCTCAGATGGGAACTCCAGAGAAATTCCCCAGATGGAAAGAGGAGTTTTAGGTGCTACTCTCCCAAATGGCCGAGGCTCCCAACCCAAACAGGAATTCCGGAGAATCTCTCCAAATGGGGAGAGGAGGTTCTTCACTGTGGAGTACCTTCACACAGCACTCACCTGTCCAGTCACGAATGCTAAAATCAAAAGGGCAAATGTCCATTCTTCCCTGACAATCAGGGACATGTTTGCAGCTGGTGACAGAGAAGCTGGTGGGAGAAACCAAAACCAGCCTCCAGCAGAAATCAGCCAGGTAGCCGCTAGGGAGGCTTTAAAGTCTCTCCCCATCCCACAGCCACCAAGCCACGTGAAGGGATCCTGGACGAGCTGCCAAATTGTCAATGAAGCCACAGGGGAGGGTTCACTGTTGCTCGCCACACAGAAAGCCAATTACTGAGACAACAATCGTTGTCAAGGAAGAAATGATTTATTTCAGTGGCTGCATCTACTGGGGGGAGGTATGAACTGCCTCAAATCTGCCTCCTTGACCAACAGGGTCAGGGGTTTTTTCTGGATGTGAAATGAATAAGGCATGAGGGGAGTGAGCATCATTACATGTTTGGGGTGGAGTGTAGGGCATGCCAGGGCAGTGAGAGATCACATGTCCCATGATCAAAAAAATGGTGGTTAAGTCCCTCCCAGAGCAGGGATTTCAGAATAGTATTGTAATGAGCTAGGGGTTAATATTGGTCATTCTTTCAGCCTCGTGTGCAGGCTGAGTGGGTCATCGGGCATGATCTGTGATGGATTATCACTTATCTCGTCTTCTCTAGATGAACAGGTGGTGTGAGGCTTTGTAGTTAAAGTGTGGCTCCAAGGAGGTTTCTGGGAAAGAAACTGAAAAGAGAATGTGTCACTGCAACAGAAAGTTACAAAGTTCTGGTCAGCAAATCTTACTGGCCTGGGAACTTGAAACATAAGAGAACTACACAGGAAAAAAATTATCTAAAAATGTTTTCCTCCTTACAGAGCCAGTTACAAAACTTTGAGGGCTCAGGAAGAGCAGCAGGGCATGTGGCAGCACCCAGCACCTTCCCACCTGCCAGCCATGGCCCGGGTGTGAGCATGATGGGCCACTAGTCCTTTAACCCCAACCACCTGCTCCTGCCCAGGACCAGCCACCCCCATGGCCACTTCCCCACACAAGGACAGCTGGTGGGGCTGCCTGCGTGGGATCAGAGGGGTGGCCTTGTTTAGCCTGCCTTGCCCATCCCAGGTTACCTTTGGGCCCTTCCTGCCAAAATATCTGAGGCATCAGGGGTGAGGGCTGAGACCCCATCTTCAGTGCTAGAAAAGACTCTCACTCTGGGCTTTCCTGAGTCCAGGACCTTGGGCAGTCGGGACAGAGCAGGAGAACATCTGGCTTTCATGTGTATCTCCTGCCAAGTGAGCTGGGACGAGGCTATCTCTGGAATGTGGGTGCCTGGGTACCAGGGCTCCAAGTTCTGTTGGGGTGTTATCCAGAAAGTGAGGTCACCTCTTGAGGTCCACTTTCCTGGGCTTCCTCCTCAGAAAAGACCTACCCAAGGGCCCCTGGAGGCTACTGACCACTCACGCTCCACCCCCATATGTCACAACCGTACACAGTTATTGGCACACAGCCCATCCCACAGCCCCTAGGATGGGCCCGAGTGCAGCCAGGGCCACAGCGTGAGGAGACAGAGCTGGATCCACCCAGTTCCTCCTCCTGTCCAGGACTATGACCCTCAATTGGGCCCCTCAGGGCCTCCTCACTCTCCCCTTCAGCACAGTGGGAATTATGATATTATTCTAGCATCTACTTTCAAGCAATGTCACCAAGTGTATGTACCTACAAATACTTATATACTCCACGGGCCAGTATCCCATGTAGCTAACGCACAATCCCAGAGCTGGAATCATGACCAAAAGTAGCATGGTGCTTCTCAAAACAGGCCTAGGTCAGGCTCTGTTATCTGGGCAATTCCCTTCCCTCCTCGCATCATTGCCCAGACTCCCATGGGAAGGTGGAAATGGACTGGAATTCGGATGTTGTCCCCTCTGGCATAAAACCTTCCGATGCCTTCCCATCATACTTAGAATCAGTCTCTAGAGTCTCACGTTGAGCTATGTCACAAGAAGCCCCCACAATGGCTTCCAGCCATGCACAATTCCTGGCCCACAAGTTTTTGTGTAATCACCTGCCTTTGAGGGGGGATTGAATTTAGCACCAGCCTTCTAATCACTAAGGCAAAAGAAATGAAATGTCATTTCCAAGATTGAGTTATAAAATTCATGACTTCTTTGTAACTCCCTCTCTCATGTGTTCCTCTCCTCCCTCCCTGCCTCCTCCCTGCCCCCCTCTCTTTCTCTCCCCCCCTCTTTCTTCTATCCTCTAGGGAAACAAACTGAGATATGATAACCTGCATTACGGAAAGGCTCCAATGTCAAAGAATTGACGCAATACCCTGAGCAACAGGGGGAATTTGAACAGAAACAGCTTGATCTCCACTCCCTGGGAAGGACACCACGAACACCCTCCCACTGAGGACACCACAGTCCGCTTCCCCCACTGCCTCACGAACACACATGGCTTCAAGGACAGTGTTTCTTCCAGAGAGCTGGGGGTGCTCTCTTTGCTTTCAACACACTGCCTCCCATAGAACACACCAGGTTCAAACTCACAGCTAGTGTCTTCACCAGAGAGCCCTGTGAACACTGACCCTTACAGTGAAGACTGATGGACCCGAAATGAGTGACTCAACTTACATGAATCTCAGTTTTCACACCTGCAATGTGGGGTCCTAGCAGATACTACCACATATGGTCATGAGAATTCAATGAGATAATACAAATAATGTTTCTTGGTGTGAATCACTTTTTACACCTGGGTTAGGCAGTTTCTGGGGGATTTTCAATCAGCAAGCAGCCTCTATGGGACACCGCCGCTGGCATGAGCTCTGAAGTTCCCACTGAAGAGTGCTGGGCCCCAGCCTTGGGGCGTGGAAGACAATGGACTCAATGGCTCATGGAATAGGGAATGACCTGGGAATGACCCTCAGGAGCATGAGGTCATGTTGGGGTGTCTGACCCAAGGTATCCTGACCATGAGGGGCACAGTGGACCAGGAGGCAGAGCCCCAGGGTTGAAAACCAAACCACAGGCAGAGTCTCCAGGTCAGACATTGGTTGCCATTATCTTCCCAAAGCCAAGGACAAGAGCAACATATTCTGTCTGTACCATGGCCCCGTGGGGCGATTTAGACCAAGCCCCTCAGCTGTCTTCAGGGCTTATGGGCCTGTCTGCACTGGGGAAATTCATCACAATGGGGAATTGACACAGCTCAAGCCCCAACCTGTGGGAATGCTCAGAGGCAGGTCGCTGTTGAGCCTGTTTGTGATACTGTTAATACTGGGAGGATATTGTTAATACTAAGGAGGAGCCTGGCCACTACCGGTGCCACTGAGTATATCCCATGGGATCTGCTCAGGTCTGGGACATCTTTACTGCTGTTGCACCTTTCCTCCCTGGTGACTCTCGAGTTGGTAACCGCAGCTGGGATCACTCCTCTAAGCCCTGCGCCTTTATATCCTCCCAAGCACTTGGCATTTCTGCCCTTGTTCCAATCCCCCTGTCCACGTCACTCCTTTGCCATCCCTCCCTGCTCCAATGAAAGACACCCCCTCACACAGATGCCCCCAGAAGACCCCCAGTCCTCCTCCTGACTCCCTTGTTCTCTG